TGTGTTATTAGCTATAGCAGATATATTTTACTTTTATAAAGTCACATTTGTGTTCTGGTTATAAAAGTCTCAGATCTGGACCCCCTACTCAACTTATGTTTTACTGAAATAACAGTATTAAATCTGTAAATATATGTATTACCAGATGCAAGCCTAAAACTAAACGGATGTCGTCTCAGGTCAAGGTAGATCTGCTCCAAATGTACAGCAAATGCTACTGAACACTCCTCTTTCACTCACTCACTCGGCCCTGCTTCTAGTCGTATTCACACAGTTTCACTTTTTTATGGCACTTTTATGTTCGTGTTTTGAAAGTATTAAAAACCAAAAAAAAAAACTGTGCTGTGCATTGAAGAACAAACATAGATTTTGCTGTTATGTGTAGAGGTAAGCAGCAGCGAAATCAAGTTTGCAGTTCAGTGTCTGTTGGATTAAACTGAGTTTTGAAAGTGGTGTGCGTGCGTGTGTAGGGGGGAAGGGGTTTGGGTTTAACATTCATATACGCAGTACGTTTGTACTGGGATCTGCCTGGATTGGTAAACGCTAATGTTTGAAGCAGATCATTTACTTTGGGTCCAGCATTATGCCTCCAGTTCAAAGCTGCAGCCCTGCTGATAAGATACCAAATTAAAGCTGATTTTAACGCTTCCACTGGACATGACACAAGCCTCCATATCATCAGCTTTCTGCCACCCTGTCACAGTATTCTAAACCTTTCCACCCCATGAATTATGAATTATGGGCTTGTGCAATATTATACTGTGTTAGTTTTGATGACAATAAATATTAATTCAGGATCCCTAAAAAATGCATGAGGGGACAGCAGTGCCACTGAGAGGTCGCGGATAGATGTCGGTGTCAAACACTGTACAGTATTTATTATCGGCGCAGATGATTCCAGGCAGCAGGCAGCCCTCTTATCCACGTCTGCATGCGTTTTATTGGTTAATAGTTGCTCAGTTTAAGTTTCCACTTTACTGGTGACATTTTTTCTAGATAGTCATCAGCATTGAAGTTATAGATATCTTGTTCCCCTGTTCTGGCTTTTTTTCTGATTGATCAAAAAGAAACTGATGATATTGATGTGTTTTATGTATTATGAGTTACTGACTGTTGACCGCTGAATTTTGGCTGGTTTTGAAGCTTTTAAAAAAAAATAAAAAAAAATATTATTCCAGTCTTGTGTTTCTAAGAGGACCTTGTGTTTGGCCTTTGTATCTTTTAAAATGAACGAATAAATAAAGAAAACTGAAAAACTGTCATGGTGAATTGACTGGGGGCTACTTGACTGTTACAGCAGCAACCTTTAAATCTGTCTTTGGGTGGCAGACTTAGGTTATATTATGCTGAATTAATTGGACCTGTTTTCCATTTAAAAAGGTGGCAGATCAAAAGATGAGGAGCGTGGAGGGTTGTTTTTGCCTGTTTAGCATTTAAACACCCCAAGGGTCTTTCTTTTTACCACTCTGCCTGTTTAAATGTATCGTCACCCAAAGAGGGCATGTCTTCTTTTCTCATTACAGCCTGCGAAGGTCACTCCCAAGTAGGGAAATCCCTCTAAGGTTTGACCCACATAATTGCAATCATATGAAAATGCATTCACATGGTGACACGGTGGCGGTTAGATTCTTGTCGGTTTGGGCTTTTTTTTTGCTAGAACTGAACAAACAAAAGGTAAATGTTGTGGAAAATGACTCCAGCAAAACCTTCAGATGATTGTTGTTGTGAACTGCTCCTATATAATAAAATTTAGCTGCTTAACTAGTAAATTCTGGCTAATTGTGTAAAAAAAGCAGTAAATCCAGTTACGACCCGCCCTCCCAAGTAAACCAGCTGTTTTCCCTCTGGTCTTGCTGGCAGCTATGGTGTGAGTTGAGAACCTGTCTCTTTGTTGTTGTTTTTTGCCACATATATATACTTTGTTATACACAAACATTTTTATCAGAGGGAATACTTTGCTTTTACAAGTTATTTCTTACTTATTAACCTTTAGAGTACTTTCAAAATCCCTACGTTGATCCTATGTTTTTTTTAATCAGCGAGATTAATGTCTTTGTCAGGAAAGACCTGAGAACAAAAATGAGTCACAAAAACACAAACAACAGACAAAGAAATGCGGAACAGAGTAAACAATGTGTTAATAAATGCAGTTGAAAGAATGATAAAAACATGAGATGATTAAGCCTATACGTGGGGGCTAAATCTCCAATTCAAGGGCAGTTTGAAGTTGTTGACATTTAAAGGTGCGTGGTATATGAAACCAGTTTTAATGAGTTTAAACTTAAATGAAAGAAGAACTTAATGTGGTTTGAAGACATTATCACAGGGGCTTTCTTGACACAGCATATTTCCACCACTGCTGAAAACCACACTATAAATAAATTGCATTTAACTGGATGCCAATACGCTTTCTGTTATTTTCTTGAGAACATTAAATATTATATTTCAAGTTGATTATTAATAGGAGAGCTGTGTCATGCCTTTTTTCTTTTCTCCCAAGATGGGCTCAGTTTCAAAGGTTTATCAGTTAAAAGTAGGGCCATCCCCACCTCTTTAATCTTTCTGGAACTGTTTCATAATTTTATGAGTAATTCAAAAACAAACAAACAAAGAGAATCCTGAGAGAAGGAATGAATAGCAGGTTTTTCCAACCTGTTATCAAACCTTTTCATGAACCTTATGAACTCTGAATCATAGTCTACTGTGAACAAAAATGCCTGGGTATTTGTATGACTCAGCAAGAGTAACAACATTTAATTGTAGGATGCTCAGAATTTGTGGCAGAGGTGGAAAATTCCATGTGCTTGATCTTTTCTAGTCTGGGATATAGGAGTGCTAATTGTATTTAAAAGTATTTTAAAATTGTGAAAAAAGTGCTAATCTCCCCTCTGTTTTCAATCCACCCGATACACTCCAAAACCACTTTAGGTTTGTGATTTTCTCCTGTGTGGCAGTGTGGATCTTCATCATGGAAGAACAGCACAGTCTACAGATATTTCAGTAATACTGACAATTTTTAATGAATAAGTTATTTTGATTGCTTGTGCCCGATGTACATTTAATTTTTAACAACGAAAATTGATACTGAGAAAAATGGCAGAACTAATGATATAACTTATGGTACTTAGGAGCATGCTGAAATTAGTTAAGAAAATTAGTTAGGAAAAACCCAGGAGCCACCAAGGCTCGAGCTTGCCATGAACAGAAAACATCTCGAATGCCATTGTCATTGTCCAGACTAAAGTGACTTTTACATCACTACTGACTGAGTCGGTGCTGATGAAGACTCCTCCAAAATCAACACCTTTTTGCTTTTCAGCTCCCCACATGAACAAGCCAAATGCCTTCAGGAGAAGAACAAATATCTAGGTAATTGGCCACAATGACAAGAGGTATCTTTGGAGGAGTAAAACGGTGAAACTTTCAAATTTAAGAAGACTGCATCAGCTGTACCAGCATGGTGGTGGTAGCATGATGGTCATCACTGGACAAAGTGGATGGAATAGTGTAGACGGACTGTCTCCAAATTCCTCAACAACAGCTAGACAGTTGAAATTTGCACACAGTTGGGTGTTCCAACTCAATGGTCCCAAACACATATCAAATCTAGTTTTGGAATGCAGGCTAATGATAAAATTCTGGAATGGCCCTAAGTGGAATAAGCCCAGACCTCAACCCTACTGAAAACTCTTGGTTTTGCTTGAAGACCAGGTCCATGACAGTTCAAGGTCAAGAAAAGTCAAGAGAAGTGGTCAAATATCCAGACAGTATTATGGCAGATGGTTGTTGATGGGTACCAAATCAGCTGGTCAATGTGAAACTTGGTAACGGGCCTTTAACCAAATATTCCTGAAGGTGTATTTATATATTTGAGCCATCATTGAACAAAACATCTTAATTGCTGAAGTGACAGTGAAGCGATAATTCCATGTGTGACGATATCCTTTATTAATGTCATCCTATTTTTTTAAGATGGTCTTTTCTAAAATCACCTGCATTTCTTGTTGTTGTCTTGATTATCCCCTTAGTATTAGAAAACATCATACAACCTCATTATCATGGTCATAAAACACAAGATCCTCTACACCTGAAAGTCCATTGTCCTGATGCATGGTCAATCACGGAGATAAAGAAATCCCAAAAAGTCAATTCTGTTCATTAGGAAACGCTACGTCCAGATGAACAGAATCAACTTTTTAGGAATGAAAGTAAATTATATCTTCCTGAGTTGTCTTGGAAAATACAAGCACTTAAATTCAAATTCAAATTTCAAATTCAAATTTTATTTGTCACGTACACAGTCATACACAGTACGATATGTAGTGAAATGCTTGGACAACTGCTCGTGACCTAAAGAAAACAAAAAAGGAAAGGCTATGAATAAGATAGGAAATAAATATGAAAAATTAAAAAGGGTAAATTTAACTAGGAAGGAATAAAATATAAATTAAGGTTAAAAATGAAATAACTGTACAACACAAATTAGAATGAAGGGTAAATTTAACTGGGAAGAATAAGATAAAATATATAAATTAAAGTTGAAAATAAAATAACTGTACAACAAAATACACAATACACAATATAGAACTATATAAGAATGTATGAAGAAATCTAAATCTAAATAAATATATACACAATAATAGCAGCTGTACAAGTATTAACCAGAAATGAAGAATATAGTGACCAGTGTTGTGCAAAAACAAAGTCCAGAAAGTCCAGTGTGTGTGTAAGAACCATATGTGTGGGTCAGTACTGTGTGGTGGTGTGATTGAGAGACCGTATCGCCTGCGGGAAGAAGCTCCTCCTCAGTCTCTCTGTGTTGGTCTTCAGGGAGCAGAATCGCTTTCCTGACCTCAACAGAGAGAACAGTCTGTTGTTGGGATGGCTGAGGTCCTTCACGATCTTCCTGGCCTTGGTCCAGCACCGCCTGCTGTAGATTGAGTGCAGGTCAGGGAGCTCGGAGCGGATGGTGCGCTCAGCTGACCGCACAACCCTCTGTAGAGCAGCTTCCCCATCAGCATCTGTGCTGCCACTTCCCTCTGTTTGGTTTCCTGGTATGAAAAGCTGAGTGTGGCATCGGGCCAAAGCTGGTAGGAAACTGGAGGCACCGCATTTGGTTTGAAGAGGAAGGATCCACTCCTGGAAAACAACAGCTATTTTAAATCAGGTCTGTAACAACACAGACAACTTCTCTGGGAGTGTTATCTATAAAGAGTGGAAAAGCTTTGTTGTTTCTTCTAAAATAAATCTTAGAAGGTATTTATTTGGCATGTGATGAAGGGCTTTTATACAGGGATGTTCCCCTTATTTTGGCATTTTATGTTTAATTGGCGCTGATTTTGCATTTGTGTGTATAAAAACATAAGAAATTGTAGTGTTTATTTGTTATTGCCGTTCATTTTATCCTCTATCTATTAATTAAGTTGGAAACTGTCACTTTAAGCCCTGCGCTTCAGTCTCCTGTCAGACTTTTTACTGAAGCCTTCGTCTCTAATCACTACAGTCACACTGAAACCGTCTCTCACACATGTCTCTTGTGACTAACGGTCCCTTTCTGTGAGCAGTCACTGTTAATGACAGTGACTGCTCATACTGACACCATCATCTCCTTCGCTCTTCCATCGAACACCACAAACTTAAACCCACACAGCCGTCCTTTTCTCTTTCATGTCGTTTCCCGGAGCTCTGGGTCCAAGCTTTGCTCACCTCTGGGCCTGAATTGTTGCTGCCTTGCTGAAATTATACCCCTGAAAAAGCCTCAGTCTCCCAGCATTTCACAGGGGCTGATGGCATTTGGGGCCCCAGGCTAAAACCTTTCATCTTTTTTTTTAAGGAAGAGCACTGTTTTGGTTTCTTCAAACACACTGAGATAATGACTTAGAGACACATAGAACGAGGGGAAACGTCTGTCACGCTGGCTGAGAGTGGGGGCTGCATGAGCTAGCATGACACTGAGGAGAGGTTTGCTGGATTGTAGGAGCTTATTGACGACTGTTCGGACTGCTGCTAAAAACTGAAGGAGCTTCAATTTAATTTGGGAGTTAAGTAAGTTTATTGCTTAACACGAATCCAGAAATGTCATTCTGAGAAAATACTGAGCCTGGATTTCAAAACACTTATCTGGAAATACCACTGGAGCTGCTTTTGGGTGCCAGTGTTAGTCAGTTTCATTCTGTGTTTTTTGGTCCAGACTGAAAGAATCCCAACAATTGCAAGTATGTATGTTCACGCTCTATAAAAGATGAATGACTCTTGCTCAACATGAGTTGTTGTGTGAGATGTTGTAACATCGTTGACAGAGTATACCGTGGCATTGTTTGCACAGCTTTCACAATCCCTTTAAGGTCACCTTATTTAATGTTATATATTTGTGGGTGGTCTTTGTCCTTCAAGCTTGTGCCCTCTACCTGAGGCTTGGGAGCTTGAGGGTCTCTAAGCTGTTCGGATGTCATTGCTGAGATCGTGCTTTAGCCACCCACCTACCTTGAGGACCATTGTTGCCTTCACCTTCCACATCTCCTCTAGCTCTTCTCTCCCCCCTTGGTATTTCTCGTGCTTCTCATGTTCTTTCTTCCTGATGTTGATACAATTTGGTATAGGTAATTATAGGGTAAACCTATACCTATTTAACATCTGATTGCTTGCTGTCATTCAGTTCATGTTTGTGTGCTGTTCCTTGAAGCAGCCCACTGTGGAGCCTCACAGATGAGGTAGAAATTCACTTTTTGTTGTTGCACACTATAACAAAAGTACTATAAAGAAACTGATCCCCGCTTTTGAGCCCAAGATAAATATTTACGTTGAAACCAGAGTATATTTCTGATGGTAATGAACATAGTGAAGGCAATGGTAGAAAAATCAGGAGGGTGCGAGCTTGAAATAAGTACAAAAAAAGCCCTATTATAGGGGGGAACATACAAATATGAAAAACCTGTGAAAATTTAGGAAAAAAAAGTATTTCATGACATGGGGCAATAATGTGAATGTAACGTGAATAATAACATAACTGTCTCAAATACAACAAGCAGCAGTTTGGTTTGTGGCTGGAAAGAAGGGAGGAGGAGGAGGAACAGGATGAGGGTTTACTGGCATGTGGGCAAACCACAACTGATGAAATGTTCCTGGTGATCCGGATCTGGGATTTCTGCCATTAGATGATTATCAGCCATGACTGTGATATTATTGCAGTTGAATAGCTAGCAAAGCTACATAAATTCACTACTGACATTGAAATGCCTGTGAGTTCTTAGAAAGTCGCAAAGTGAAAATGTATGCTTCTTGAAAACTTCATGGATTGCTGCGTGTTGTTCTCCGGCACAGTTCTCCATATATCCTAATACTGGTGGCAAACCTTTCACTTTTCTTTTCCCAGACAATAAGCGTGACTCTGGTTATTCTCTGCCCTTTGTGGTTTGAAATGAAATATCTCGATGCAAATGTCTCAAAGCAATTAAGTGATTTGCTAACATGCTGGGATTCTCACAGAATGGATCAATAACACTAAAGCAACTGAGCTTGAAGGTTAAGGTCATTAATGTTGCCATTATATTTTATACAGGAATACCTTTTAATGCCTCCATTTGTATTTTGTGCACCTAAACCATTTCTTTTATGTACAGTAGACATTCTGAAAGTTCTAAAAGGACAGTTAAAGAGGGTTTTGTAAAAGTATGTAAAATATATTTCATAATTCCTGACTGTTACTTGTGACAAAACATTTTTGTCAAACTTCCCTGTTACACAGATCTGTGGTTTAGCATGATTTTTAGAAGCCTTGTCTACGGGCGACCGTGGTTCAGGGGATTGGGAAGCTCATCTGTAACCGGAACATTGCCGGTTCGATCCCCCAGCTCTATTTGTCCTGGTAGTTGTGTCCTTGGGCAAGAGGCTTTACCCTACGGCCTACTGGTGTTGGTCAGAGGGGCTGATGGCACGATATGGCACCCTCGCTTCTGTCAGTCTGCCCCAGGGCAGCTGTGGCTGCAACTGTGGTTTGCCTGCACCAATGAGTGAATGAATAGTGGAATTGTAAAGCGCTTTAGGTGCCTAGAAAAGCGCTATATAAATGCAATCCATTATTAATCTCATTGATCTCAGTTATGTTGCTACATGAAAATGGAGAAGAAGATGCAACATTATCTCAAAATTTAGAAATTAGCAGTTACATCAATGTCAGACTCTGAAGACTTGAGAAAACATCCAGCACCTGGAGAGCACAAACATCTGCCAAGCTAGCTCACTCTCTGGGCAGAATTTCCTTTCAAGGGAGGAGCGTTGTAATTAAATATACTTTTAAAAAAGTTTGTAGTCCAGTTAAAACAAGCACAAAATGCAGGCTTTTGTTATTTTGCCTGTTCTAACCCATTTTAATATACTTCACATAATTTTGATTGCAATTATTTGTTATTTATGTGGATGTAGTGAATGTGTAACACTTATTTCACTGTTTAGTTAATTTGTTTAAATGTCTAGTAATAAATATCAAGTCAAAAAAGCTTTTCATCACAAGTTTATTCTGTTTTTAACATTGTCAAATTATTATTTACTGAAACAGTTATAACTTCTTACCATAATTTGATGTCATACATCAACTATAATGTCATTGTAAAATAACATGATGCATAGAATCGTCATTTATCATGTACTAAATAATTTTAAGCTGTCAATGCAAACAATGGCAGTAAAAAGCAGAGTCTTAAATAGCTCCATATATCATTATTATCAGGTTGACCTTCAGATCAATTTATTGATCCTGAACTAAAGGTCAAGGGTCAAATGTGATGATATTTTAAATGCCTACACTGTACTTTCTATTTGTTGACAATGTCGATTTTCAACCAATAAATCATTAGCTTGACCTTAAAAACATTGATGGATGTAAAACAAATTTTAATGGATTGTTTACATGACTCTGCCCTACACCTCTATAAAGTTTTATCAGAATTTATTCAAAACTTTTCGAGCTATCATGTTTACAGACAGAATGATTACATGCACACACACAAATGGTACCATTTAGAGGGAATAAAGAATACCCTCCACCTTTCTTCTGTTTTCTCCATCACTGAGACCATAACACCGATTTGTGTGTGTGTGTGTGTGTATTACCTTAATTACAAAAAATTTATTGCGGGAATGAACTGATAATTCATATACAACATTTGGACTCCAAAAGTATATTATCTCCTTTTAGTGTATATATGGGCCTAATATGGCCATCAAGCAGACCTGGGGGGTCCATTATCAAGTCAAAACTCTGATTTGTCCAGTTAATGTTCCTCCACTTACAAAAGTGCACTTTCTTAATGGTAACTTTCTTATCTTACCAGTTAAGTATACCAGTTACTTGTATAGTTAGCTTTAAGCAGTAATGCAAAAAAGGGGTTGATTCTGGAGGCATTTTTGAGAGAGCTGGGAACCTTTGTAATGATATTGATGTGTAGAGGCTTCAGAAAGCCATCAACAATCAATCTCAGACTGATGAAGTCACAACTTATGTGGCTGGTATGTACAATAACAGTTAAACTATGTGAACTTTAGAAATAAATACACGTACAAGAACATAAAAAATATTAATGCATATTAATGCAGATGGCCGCCCCTCCCTGAGCTGGTTCTGCCAGAGGTTTCTTCCTGTTAAAAGGGCTTTTTTCCTTCCCACAATCGCCATTTGCTTGCTCACACAGGGTCATCTGATTGATTGTTTTGAGGTTTCTCTGTATTATTGTCAGGTCTTTAACTTACAATATAAAGCAGCTTGAGGCAACTGTTGTTGTAATTTGGAGCTGTATAAAAAAACTGAATTGAATTATATTGCTTTTAAATCTGAAAGGATTTGGTTTGGTTACATTCTCCATACAGTAACCGTATTTCACAAAAGCTGATAAACTTTTTGTACTGGGCATTTCATGTGAACCAAATTGCATGTGAAAAAGTTTTGAGACATACATTTTTGACTAAAATGAAAGCGTGTGTTTAAACTACATATGTCTGGCACTCAGTGTCATTCTCAGTCTGGCGACTGTGGTAAACAAACAAATTGTATGACTAGCAGGTACATTGTTTACTCATTAAAATCCATTCTTTTAATGTTTTCCAGGGATTTGGGTCAACTTTTTCCTCAACATCCCCAAATCCACTACCACACACCCCCACCATCTGCAGGAATAGTGGCGGGCTTGGGTTTCTGTTATGCTGGCTGGGTGTTAGTGAAGTCACTAGAAAAACATCAGTGGCTGCAGAGGGCTGCCCACAGAGGAAAGCATTGCGTGCAGAAGATTATTTTTTTGAAGGGACTCTGTTGGAGGATGATCATTTGGAGGATGGTGCTGTCGTGCCAGGGCAGTTTTAAGGTTCACCGTGTAGCAGTGTCAAGAGGGCAGCTTCCATATGCACCTTCAGCCCTCACTCAGATATTCAGGCGGCGGCACATTTTACAGGCCTCAGTGGAGAACTGGAATTGCTCTTGTTTCCCACAATGTCTCCTTTTGTTTCAGCTAGTGACTGAAATAGGAGTTCATATGGCAATATTTTTTCCATCTTACTTGAGGTCAGGGCCAAACATGGCATGGAATATTTTCTGTCAGCCTCATTATACACGAATCCACAAGCTGGCAATGACTAATTTTACAATACTGCAGAAACTAGGCAGCTTTTACATGTCTGTAGGTGTTAATAAGATATAAATAACTTATTTGTTTTGCTCTTCTTTAAAGGCACCAGATTTTGAGGATTTTTTTCTTTAGAGCTTGCACTGACTACTACAAATATAATCTACCTGCACTGTTAAATTTTAATTAGGCTTTGAGGATTTTTCTCTGTTTTGAATTTGCTCTAAACTTTAGCTGTGATTATGTGAATGAATGCTTACATGAAGCTACAATGTCTTCAAGCTATACTTAAACTCTGCGAAATAACAGATAACATAGTTGTTATCTGTTATTACACAGCTACATTTGTCTAATAACAGATCGGGTTTTGGTTTTATTCTAAATTTTGGGTTTGTCTGGTTGGATTTGAGCACATTTTTGTGAGGTCTTAAAGAGGTTGACTGGACTGAACTGACCCCTATAAATTTTTTGTCAAATAGCAGGCTCCATCTGTATGCAAGATGTAGTACACTACGTGTGTGCTGCAGTCATATTTACTGTTTAGGATCTTATTCCATGTGGCATCATAAACATAAGAATGTTTAATGCAACCTTTTACTATTGAAATTGTGTGAGATGGTCAAAATGTTTGAACTGCTCACTGGATAACTTTTCTCAAGCAAAACTGCTTCACTACTCAGGTTTACTTAAGGTTAGACAGATAAAATGCTACAAAATAAAATAAAAATAAAGCAAGAAGCTTGATTTAAAAGTAATTAAGTTGAAAAAGAAATATTATAACAGTAGGCTACAATATTGCTCCTAATCCAAGGCAGTTTAGAAAGCTAGGGTTGTTTTTTTAAATTTCTTTTTAACAATATTAATGTGGCCTAGTTGTTACTTTTAGGACACATAAAATAGGCGAAATTAAACTTAAAGTGGAGGAAAGGAGTTATGTGGAAGCTAAACTGAAACCCCCGAAGGAAATCTGGGCAGTTAAGAGGTGCAATGAAGGGATTACAATTAAAAAATGTTGGATATTATCACATTTATTACAACATGCGAGGCTGATACCTCGTCAACGCCCTGGTCTTTTAACTCTGGACACTCCCATTAGATCACTGAAGTCTGCAAAACAGATGCTCATAGTTTTCACGGTGTCCAAGTTAAAACAATAAAACACGAATGTTTATTCGTGTTTTATTTTAAAATCGATGACTTCACTTGAGTTGACCCAACTTTCCAAATGTATTTTCCATTTAATATGAAAACAGTTTCTCTATACTTACACACAGAGATATTCTCTTTTATAATAAAGACTTTTGAGCATTGGATTTAGCAGTTTGGCTCACTTGCAAAGGCAAACTAGGCTGCATTAGTTAGTTTGGCACTCTTGTGTTGACGCATCAGAGTCGGTAGAAAAAGTTATAACGTGCTGCGGCGACGGTGTCTCCATTGCAGGACGATCTCATTGGTTCATCGGTGATGAGGTCTTTGCTCGAGATGCCTCAGCTCGTGACGTTGGCGCGCGCTCCCCCTGACTGGTTGGCTGGTAGGACGGTCCGGTGAGCAGAGACAGAGGATGAGGAGTAAGTGAAGCGAAGACACGTTCAGCGGACAACTGCTTTTCTGTGAGTGAGATTTGGATTATTTTTGTATTTTATAACTGGTCCCATGAACATTATTTTTTATTCAGGTGGTAAAACAGAAGGCTTTACTTATAAAGGTGACATAGCCGGTTCGCACTAATCGTTTCAGAGCTGAAACCTTTTAATGTTTTCGTGAAGATAAAAGAAGGCTTATAGTTTTCTGTTACTCAGGAAAGTTTAAGCTAATACGATGAGAGATTTGTCGGCATTTGTCTAACGACCGAGCTGTTAGGGAAAGTTTCTTCCGTCTCTTCAGTCTGTGCATTTGCTTTATTTGACGCCAAGAAATGTGAAAGGATCAATGAGAGTACTTTTACACAAATTCATTGAAAGTGTTTCGCAGACAGTTTTTTTTTCTACGCGAATAATCAAACTTTCCTAATGAATCTTATTAATTTATTCTGACTTGCGTTTTAACCGATAGTGTGTAACTTTCTCAAGCACAGACACATATAGATCGTTCGAGAGCGTTTAATCTGTGGCGCTCAGCTTAATTGTGATAGTCCTGTTGGGTATTTTCGACAGCTTTTAAGCTGAAGGAGCTGAATGAGCTTTGCTGCAGCCATGCTCAGTCTACCGCGCCCCCTTCTGGTCACCTGCGTGTATCTCCTGCTGCTGCCGGGCTGTCAGGGCAGGATCCTCGGCTACACCAATGGTTTTCACTACCAGGACATCAGCAACGGGAATGGACACGGAGAGAGTAGGTTGTCCGTGTGTTTGTGTGGACATGATTAACACATTCTGTGGTACATGCATCAACACACAGCTGGTCGGAACTAATTAGGATGTGGGAAAACAGCTGTAATTTATGAATTTACAGGCAGTCATCCAGGGCTAACAAAACAAATACTGTTAGTAGTGAGCAATGTGTGTTTGTGTTACCTGTAACATGTGTTTTTGGGATATTCTTTTATCTTCTTTTCTCCACATTTCGGTAAACACATCCATGTTTCTGTGACTCTAAACAGACTTTTCAGACTTGAGTATCGTGTAATCAGATTTGCATTGTTACTATGAAACTCAAAATAATTTGGCAAATGGTAAACATGCATGCCGACTGTGCACTGATTATCATAGTTTTTATCTGTAAAATACAGGCTAATAATATAAACCATTTGGGTGAAGGCACAATTGACCTTCATAGACTTCATACAGGAGGACAACGGGGGAAGGTACAAGTTTATTTTGCTGTGATGGTGGTAAATTTCGATAAAAACCTTCCATTTAGACTGGCTCTGTTTGCTTTAATTCGGCCTTTTAACATGTTGTCTTTCTTCTGACTTTTCTAGTTTATTTTAATGGGATTCGTCTCCACGTGGAATCCCCTCAGTCTTCAGTGTCAGCCACTAGGGGGAGCACTGTCACCCTTCCGTGTCACTACCACTATGAGCCTGAACTGACTATACCACGCAAGACCCGTGTCAAATGGTCCTGGTTGCCTGCCAACACCATGACTCCACAAGTTTCTGCTGATGCCTTCCTCAAGGAGACTGAGGTTATGGTTGCCATGGGAAGCCGCCACCGCAGCTACGGCAGCTTCCGTGGCCGCGTGCGCCTGCGACGCTCAGCGCCAGGGGACATGTCTCTAGTAATCAATGAGCTACAGGTCAACGACACAGGAAGATATCGCTGTGAAGTGATTGATGGCCTGGAGGATGACAGTGTGACGGTGGATCTGGAGCTACGGGGTAAGATTTTTGTTTTTGAGTTTGGGCCTCAACGTGAGTCAGGTTGGATTAATTCTTGTGGGGGCCACAAAAAAATGCTGTGGACTTTTGGTTCCAAGAGCAAGAGGGAGCTGAACTCAATAAAATCATAAATCAATCAAATCAATCATCTGTGTTAGAATGGAGACCTCTCTATGGTTTCACCCTACCGCATAGCTGGATTAGGGTCTACGCTTCCAAATAATAATGGTACTTCTAATAGCAAAAAAGTAAATTATTACATGTTTCCTAAATTATGAATTAATTTTATATTTGAAAACATTTCCATAGAACCATATAAAATGTACAAAATAAGTGAAATGAAGCCCAAGTCTTATATGCTGAATGAGCAATTTTCAATAAATGGGTTTAAAATCTGAGCCCAGTATCAAGTTCTGTTTGATCTCCAACAGTACATATTGCAAAACAAATATTTAATTAATCACATTACCATAGAATAGCAGATTATGCATATTAATTTAGGGCCTTCAACAGCCCTGAGTACCAGAGACATCATAGTATTTGAAATCATCAAATAGATTAACAGTAACAGTATCTAGTTTCATCTAGTATCTAGTATCAGATTGGACGGAAAATTGCTGCTGCACAGTCTCTGGTGTTAATGTTAACTTGTTAAACAAAGTGAAAGCTTAAGAGAGGATTCACTGTAAAGGGACAATGAATAAGTGGATTTATTTTTCAATTCAATTCTATTTTATTTATATAGCGCCAAATCACAACAAAAGTCGCCTCAAGGCGCTTCATAGATACAGAGAAAAACCCAACAATCATATGACCCCCCTATGAGCAAGCACTTTGGCGACAGTGGGAAGGAAAAACTCCCTTTTAACAGGAAGAAACCTCGGCAGAACCAGGCTCAGGGAGGGGCGGCCATCTGCTGCGACCGGTTGGGGTGAGAGAAGGAAGACAGGATAAAGACATGCTGTGGAAGAGAGACAGAGGTTAATAACAGATATGATTCAATGCAGAGAGGTCTATTAACACATAGTGAGTGAGAAAGGTGACTGGAAAGGAAAAACTCAATGCATCATGGGAATCCCCCGGCAGCCTACGTCTATTGCAGCATAACTAAGGGAGGATTCAGGGTCACCTGGTCCAGCCCTAACTATATGCTTTAGCAAAAAGGAAAGTTTTAAGCCTAATCTTAAAAGTAGAGATAGTGTCTGTCTCCCGAATCCAAACTGGAAGCTGGTTCCACAGAAGAGGGGCCTGAAAACTGAAGGCTCTGCCTCCCATTCTACTTTTAAATACTCTAGGAACAACAAGTAGGCCTGCAGAGCGAGAGCGAAGTGCTCTAATAGGGTGATATGGTACTACAAGGTCATTAAGATAAGATGGGGCCTGATTATTTAAGACCTTGTATGTGAGGAGCAGGATTTTGAATTCAATTCTGGATTTAACAGGAAGCCAATGAAGGGAAGCCAAAACAGGAGAAATATGCTCTCTCTTTCTAGTCCCTGTCAGGACTCTTGCTGCAGCATTTTGGATTAGCTGAAGGCTTTTCAGTGAGTTTTTTGGACATCCTGATAATAATGAATTACAGTAGTCCAGCCTGGAAGTAATAAATGCATGAACTAGTTTTTCAGCGTCACTCTGAGACAGGATATTTCTAATTTTAGAGATGTTGCGCAAATGGAAGAAAGCAGTCTTACATATTTGTTTAATATGTGCGTTGAAGGACATGTCCTGGTCAAAAATGACTCCAAGGTTCCTCACAGCGTTACTGGAGGCCAAGGTAATGCCATCCAGAGTAAGAATCTGGTTAGATACCATATTTCTAAGCTTTTCAGGGCCGAGTACAATAACCTCAGTTTTATCTGAATTAAGAAGCAGAAAGTTAGCGGCCATCCAGGTCTTTATGTCTTTAAGACATTCCTGCAGTTTAACTAATTGGTGTGTGTTATCTGGCTTCATGGACAGATAGAGCTGGGTGTCATCTGCATAGCAGTGAAAATGTATGCTATGTCTTCTAATGATGCTGCCTAAGGGAAGCATGTATAATGTAAACAGAATTGGTCCTAGCACTGAACCCTGTGGAACTCCATAATTAACCTCAGTGTGTGAAGAGGACTCTCCATTTACATGCACAAACTGGAGTCTATTAGATAGATATGATACAAACCACTGCAGTGCAGTACCTGTAATACCTACAGCATGTTCTAATCGCTCTAATAGGATATTATGGTCAACAGTATCGAACGCTTTATAGGCTATAAGGTGCTCTTGTTTGTAGATGTATTTTAAGAATATAATAATGTATTTTGGTGACCCTACATTTCCCGTGAAACTTGTGGTATAGCTGTGTGCATGTTGGACTCCACAAGACCTGTCCTTTGTCACATTATCAAGGCACAGTCATGATGCGGAGGGTGTCTTGTCTCAGGATCTTAGTTCTACTTTTTATAGATGATATGATTTTTTTTTTTCATAATCAAATGATAGGCTCCAGCTTGAGCTGTGTGTGAAGCGGCTGGGGGGAGAAATAACACTTCCACATCTGAGGCCAGGGTGGAATATGCCCACTCTGCGTTGTTGATGACTGCTGTGGGGGACTACTACCCTACTTGGAGGTGTTTTCATGTGAAATGGCACTTTATAAATGGGAGTAAAATGTAACCTATTTCCATCCAACAATCTTTTTTTTTAAATTTGCAAAACAAAAATGAAAAATGGTGACTTTATTTTTTTACCAGTCATTAATGAAAAAAAGAGGATTTTCTGAACTCTACATTTCAGAATATACTTAAGATTTGACATGAGAATTATTTGAGTTGTATTTCGGGGTTTTCTGATCATGTTGAATTAAAAAAGAAATGTACTCATTGACAAACTGTTGTAATACATTGTTCCTTCACATACAGGTGTGGTGTTTCCTTACTACTCTCAGAAAGGACGCTACCATTATAACTTCTTCAGGGCCCAAAAAGAGTGCCAGGATCAGGACGCTACTTTGGCTACATTTGAGCAGCTCTTTACAGCATGGGAGGAGGGGCTAGACTGGTGTAATGCTGGCTGGTTGGCTGATGGCACAGTGCAGTATCCAATCACAATCCCACGTGATGGTTGTGGGGGCAAGAACTTGGCTCCTGGTCTACGGAGCTATGGAGAACGAGACCGTGTCCTTCACCGATATGACGCTTTCTGCTTCGCTGCGTCTGTTAAGGGTGAGTATGAGCATGTTTGAGTTCATTTTTTTACATCTAAAAATTCCAGGTCATTACAGTTTCTTCAATGATTATTCTCTTCTGGATAGGGACAGTTTACTTCTTAGAGAACACAACCAAGCTCAACTTCACTGAAGCAATCCAGGCTTGTTCCAGTGATGGAAGTCAGATTGCCAAAGTGGGCCAGCTGTATGCTGCATGGAAACTGATGGGATTGGACCACTGTGATGCAGGCTGGTTGGCTGATGGAAGTGTCCGTTATCCTATCACAAAGGCCCGGGCTAACTGTGGTCCATCACAACCAGGTGTGCGTAGTTTTGGGTTCCCCCCTCAGTACCTGAAATTTGGTGTCTACTGTTATCGGTCGATGCTCTGTTTTAACGCGGGACAAATTAAACCATACTAATAGTGAAGCAGGTTAAAGCTCTGCTTGAGAGGTTAGCATTAGATATAGCCTGGATGCAAATTAGCAGTTAGCCAGTTTATTCTTCTCTGAGCTATTTTAAAGTGATGGGATTTGGTTTATCTCTCTCCATCTCAAATAGACCAATGACACAATTGACCATGAAGCAACTGTTAAACTAACTGTGGACATCAGTCTTGCCGACATGTCATTGTTAAACATGTAAATCCAAAATCATGGGTGTTATTATGTTGCTGCAAGAGCATTCACTCTTTGTTCCATCACTCTTTTTCCTTTTTTTTTTTAAATTTATATTTTTTTTATTAAGGTTTCAAAAGCTGGCATTCACAGTATGTACATCATGTAAGCATACTTCTTGCTTAGGTTATCTGCCTTAGATACCGAAATAGTATTTTAATTTACATCCGAGTCATAAAGAGAGAATATTTACAACTATAGAAGCAATTGAAACAATCACATAATCCGAAATAAGAAAACAAACAAAACCAACAAACCTACAAACAAAACAGAAAAAAACAAAAAAAAAAACAAACAAAAAACAAAAAACAAAAAACGGATGTGTTGGTAGGGGGTGATCCTATAAATATATACTCTCATACATCACAGTTATTGGTTTGTAAAAATAAAATCTGGCCTATGAGGCGTGATATATTTGACCCAGTTTTCCCAGTATGATGTAAATTTCTCCAGCTTGTGGTTAACAGAAGCTGTTATCTTTTCCATGTTATAGATTTCCATTGTGATTTCCATCCATGTACTTATGTTTGGGCTCTCCGGGGATAACCATTTTCTGGTGATACTCTTTTTACAGGCCACCAGTAGAATATTTACTAAATGTTTATCATATTTAGGCCATTCCTGAGGTATATATCCAAAGAACATAGTCTTACTCTCGAGGGGTATTTCGCATTTAAAGATATCCTGTAAGGCATTATGTATTTCTCTCCAATAATCCCTCAAGATAGAGCAGTCCCAAAAAATGTGGTAGTGATTTGCACTTTGATTTCCACAGTTCCTCCAACAAGCAGGGGAGTTATCATCATAATGAGACTTCTGAGAAGGTGTTATAAAGTATCTAATTAGGCACTTCCAGCCGAATTCCCTCCACTTTTGTGAGCTGGTACACATCCACTGATACCTCCATATTGCCGTCCATTCTTCCTCTAATATTTTTATCCCTCCTTCCTTCTCCCATTTTGTTCTAATATATGAAGTCGAATATGGTTTCAAATCCATTAGACCCTTATACAGACATGATACAATTCTATCAATAGTTTCGGAGTTATAGCTTTTTATAAACAATTCCGTCAAGCGTGTGTTTGTCATTGTTACATTTCTGAATAGGAATAGACAGCATTTGTTCCTCAATGGTTTTCCATTGGGCAGTGTATGATGGGTTACACCAGCATATTATTGCTCTCATCTGCGCTGCAAAGTAGTAGTATCTGAGGTCAGGGAGGCCCCATCCTCCCTTTTGCTTAGCCAGCTGTAGAGTTTTGAGGCGAACCCTTGGTCTTTTACCTTGCCATATATATCTAGATAACATTTTGTCCCACTCATTAAATTGACTTTGGTTACCATCACTCTTTTTCCATCACACCTGTCACTATCCATTTGACAGTTGTTCCTGTTTGGTACACAACAGATGCTGATATGTCTGTGGTCACAGCTGGGTTTCCAGTTTATCTCAGAGGTGTTAGTTGGGGTTATCATCACTGTCTCAAGGCTCACCCATTGTGCTAGGTATTGCCAAAGTCCCAGTGCTGGGACTTTGGCAATACCTAGCACAAAAAAGTAGATGTGTACATATATCATTAGAGTTGGAGGCACCATTTATTTGACCTGCAGAGAGTAAGTTTGACCATAAACTCAGCCTGACACCAAACAACATGAAAGTACCCAGACAAGCAAATGTTCATATACTGTTTGCCACTAAGTGCAACATGTCTCAATCACAGCAAAATCTTGCAGTAAAATGCACAAGGCCATTGTTTATTCCTGCAATTAAATGATTTGTGCTGTCATTTTCCATCTCTGCTAATTTAACTTTAAACTTTCTGCAGCTATTTTGAAATTTGGTTGAAGGTTTTTGACATTGATCCACCACTAACACTGATTCATTTGATGACTCATTTCAAGCTCAGGGAAGGTGTACAGACTCAGAAAAGTCCTCTTCCCATCCAAATTATTTCACTGGTGTCCAATCATAGCTTTCGTTTATATTTCTCAACCATATAATTCAGAAGTTTGCACTGACCCTTTAACCAAAACAATACAAAGATTAAAAAAATAATCAGCTGTAATAGCTTTATACCACAACCACAGGCTTTTGTGGAGCATCTTAATGGTTAAGGGAGTAGATTTTATTTCCCTCTAAGATCTTTCCAGCTGGTCCGCAGTTTTCTGTCTTACATTTGAACATTTTATACAAATATAATGTGTTTCTTTTTATTTTTAAAGGCTGATTAAGAATTGTGTTCTCTGTTGGAGGAGGAAGTTCTGGTTCTCAGTATTACACTACCCTGTTTATGTTCATTGTCAAAGAATATTTACATACAAACATACCTTTTTTGTTTTCATTATGTCTGTGCATTTGTACTACTTTCTACAAACTAATAAAAATACTGCTGTGAATACACTTTCATTTGAGTAACATTTTTTTTATGTGGGTGGTGTTACTTAAACAAATTCCTTTAAATCCTGCTGTTAAAAAACCTACGTTAACATTTTCAATTGTTTAACTACATCAGCGACTTCAACACCAGTGATGGGTGATTTTTCCACTTCCTCCCCAGACTATGCTTACAGTAAAGAAGGCATGGTACTGAGGATCTCCTAAAGGTGTTCTTCCTAACTACATTCTCGGTCGAAGTCAGGAGTGTCCCATCTCCACTGTCAACGGTGTATGTAGAATACCACTTCCCCTGATGGTAGGACCTCAGTAACCATGTCCAGGCAGGGTACACTGGACCCTTGATTTGTTCCACTCACCAGGATTTGCTGAACCACTCTTTGTTTGGCCCCACCGCCAGGGAGACATGGGAGACCGTATCAGGGGCAAGTTGGCCATAGCTCATGAAATCTTGCACAAAACCCTCCACCGTGATGCAGTGTTGATTCACGCAGGGGTATACAGAATAGAAAAAGAGTGTCAGAAGCTGAACATTTAGGACAGTGTGAAGCAGCTCATAGGTCTTTGACTCACAGATTACCTTTACACATACTCATATCATCATTTGAAACTTTGGCTTTATTTATTATGAACATCTAGTGCTGTAAAGGAATATACAGAAGGGGAAATAAGTTTGCTCACTTCTAAAGAAATGAACATTCTCTCATTTTTATGGTAGTTTCATTTTAAGAGAGAGAGATAGACAATCAAGAAAAAACACAAAATATATAAAAGTTATAAATTTATTTGCATGTCATTAAGAGAAAAAGGTATTTGATCCCCAACGGAAAACTCGACTTAGTACTTGGTGCAGAAACCCTTGATGGCAACTGCTGGAAGTAGGAAGACGTTTTTTATAGGTGTTCACCAGGTTTGTATACGTATCATAGATTTTCTGTAAGATTGAGGCCGAGTGTCTGGTGACTATGCCACTCCATGACCTTAACTTGTCCTTCTTTAACCACTTCTTTGTTGGCAGTATGTTTTGGTTCATTTTCATGCTGGAAGACGCATCCATCTTTAGACCTCTGAAGGAAGGAGGTTCTCGGCCAAGATTTTACAGTATGTGGTCCTAACTTTGGCTCCTGAATGTGATGAAGTCGTCCTGTACTCTTAGCAGAAAAACAGCCGCAAAGGATAATGTTTCCACCTCTGTGCTTGACTGAGGGGATGGTGTTCTTTGGATCATACTCAGCATTTTTCTGTGGACAGTTGTGCTTTATCTATACTTGATGATTTATTGATTGTGATGTGAGACACAGCCAATAGGTGGGAGACTGAACTCTGTCTGGATTGTAAGGTTCAAATACTTATTTCACTCAGTGACATGTGAATAAATGTATTAACTTTTATGTAACACATTTTTTTCTGGATTTTTGAGTAAGTATTTTATCTTTCTTTATTAAATTGTAACTACCATAAAAATCTGATTACATTTTTTTCATTGTAATTGAGCAAATCAATGACGCAATCTTACAAATTCAGCAGGGAACCCTTCCGCCGGGGTTACTTGCGAAGTAGCATTCCAACAACGCCCATCGATGCCTTCTTGTTCCAGTAGCCCACTTTTCGTCAGGGTGTCCTGGTTCCTCAACACCTGATGCGGACCTTGTTGATCCGGGCGACATCCGAGCCGGCATGCCTTCATATTTATCTGTGTCGCTCATGTCTGCGGTAGGCTTGCTTCGATAGGCAGGAATCGAACTTGTGATCCTCTGTTCCAAAGGCGTGTAGTCTAACCACTACGCTATCCAGCTGCTGTATATGTATATGTTAGGGGTGCAACGATATTCGTATCGATATTGAACCGTTCGATACAGTGCTTTCGGTTCGGTACGCATATGTATTGAACAATACAACATTTGTAATTTATTTTATCAATTTTCCTTCTGACGATGCTGTCTGTGTTGAGCGCTCAGTGAATCTGTGTTCGACTACTCCGCCTAGGCTGCACTGTCGAGCGCAGATCCACTGAGCGCTCAACACAGACAGCATAGTCAGAAGGAAGAGCGCAGGGCAAGCTAGCGAGACAGAAGTTAAGCTCTGCTTGCAACAAGCAAATTGAACCTCATTCAGATCTGGCGTTTGGAATTATTTTGGTTTTCATGTGACGTATGACCCTGAAGGTAAGCGAGTCATGGACTAAAGTAAAACAGTATGTTGGATGTGCCACGCAATGCTTAATTACATTGGTGTGAACTAGTGTGTTAGCGCAGTTAGCTCGTTAACGTGTTGGCCGTCTAGCCCCATGCACGGAGCGATCGGCGGTAGCTCGTTAACGGAGATTTGCCGTGTTGTGGCGTTAAGGTCATTTCAACGAGATTAACCTGAAAGCACTAGTGGGAACACAACAAATATGACTGCACATTTACGCTGACATCATCCTAGTGCAATGACAAAAACAACAAGCATGCTACTAACTTTAGCCGAGTCATTTAGACAGCTGTTAGCACATGATTCTCCTTATGCTGCTGAGAATATAGCCCAGAAGAAGCGGATAGTATAGCTTTTATTTTGGAAAGAGACATTTCTCTGTAATAAACTCTCTTTTCCAAAGATGAGTGATTCCTCAATCAGATACAGGGCTCGCAATATCGCTAGCCCGACGTCCCGGAGCTAGCGATTTTTTCAGTCGGGCTACCAAAATCTATCTCTTCCCTGCCCGTCGGGCTATTGTACGAAAAATATATGTCAATGCTTTTGCATTCTTTCAGAAATGTAGCTGGGTAATTATGTCATTGGCATCGGTGAGCCACTGTCAATATGTGACATATTGAAATCGCGTTTGAATTTGCGCTTGTTTTTTTGCTTTCGTGCGAACTGTGTATAGAGAGCGACAGCACTGATCTGTGAGTGATGATAATTTGTGCACCAATTCCTCTGACATCGTCTTATTAATCGTTAGCTTACTATGCAAACATGACAAGTGAAATCTCCCGCAGCTTAAACATGTGAGAGGTTGATCGCGCAGAGAATCGCTGAGCTTATGTGAGTGTGTGTGTAAAAGCATTTCAGTTCTGCTGAGCCAAATAAGACAGGTCAGGGTGAAGAAGTGACAGCCAAAGAAAAGCTTACCACAAAACGGAGAAGTTATGACAAATCAGACTATAAGGCAAAAAGAAAGTGCAGCTTTATGGTTTCATGGACAAAAGAATTTCTGTGGCTGCAATATGACGAGCTAAATAACCAGGGCTGCACATAAGTGGTCCGCAGGTGCGCATTCGCTGTCAAAATAAAAAACACGCACAAGGGTTAGGGTTAAATTTAAAAACTGTACTTTTGAGTTAAAATATATATTTATAATTTTAATAAATGACAAATTAAAAAGCATGAACATTTTTTTGTATCGAAAAAATATCGAACCGTGACACCAAAGTATCGAACCGAACCGAACCGTGAATTTTGTGTATCGTTGCACCCCTAGTATATATATATATATATATATATTATATGACATAGTATATTATATAATATATTATATGTGTGTGTGTGTGTTATGTGTTGTGTTGTGTGTGTGTGTATATGTCGTATATATGTGTGTGTATATGTGTGTGTGTGTGTGTGTGTGTATATGTGTATGTGTGTGTGTGTGTGTGTATATGTATATGTATGTGTGTATATATATATATGTGTGTGTGTGTGTGTGTATATATATGTGTGTGTATATATATATGTCTATCTATCAAAAAATACGGAAAGTGTGAAAGGCAATGAGTGGTTCTTAGTTATGTTTCAATATTTTGGATATCCTTTAATATTGTGTGATTTGCAACTCTGAAACACCTTCTATGATTTGTTCATTGAATTTCCTGTTTGTTGTAGATTGCAAACAACCACTAAGAAGTCTGCTCACTAGGTACTGATTCAGTTTCACTTTACTCTTCAAACAGGAGAGTTGAAATGGGTTCCTGAGCCGTACAAAACAGGCACCTTATGTAAAGCTAACATGCACCACTCTGTCTGGGCACTATGTGCTTTTAGATGAGTGGAGTCAAACATGTCGCTACGCCCTCCTGCATGTGGGTGGGAACAGACGTTCTAGTGACTATGCTGCCACTGGATTTTAGAAACACATCCTATTTACCTGAGTGGACACATA